TTGCAGATAAAGAAGCTGAGCCATAGAGAGACGTTTGTTTAAAGTTCTGTACATATTAAGTGGTAGAATTGTTGCAAGTAGCAGAAAAGTCAAGTAGGGTGAAGACTTAGAAGAAAAAAGACCTCTAATTTTGACTGATAGGTTATTTTTGACATTGTCATTCAGTGGTATTATGTAAAAATAGCAACACTGAACACTGAACATTTTCCGTGTAAGAAATGCTGTTCTAAGTTTATTTAATCTGCATCCTCGAAGTACATAATTATCTCTATTTTTTAAGTGAGGAACTGAAGCACAGAGAGATTAAGTTACATAATAGAATAAGCAACGGAGTTAGGATAATACAGGCAGACTGGTTTCAGAACCATCCTCTTAACCACGAGCCAGCAATTTAGGGCTGGTGGTCCAAATTGGGCCTGCTGACTGTCCTTATAAATAAAGTTTTATGGAACAAGGCCACTTTTACTCATTTATGTATTACACACAGCTCCTTTTAACAGAGTTGAGTAGTTGCAGCAGACCAGGTGGCTGTAAAACCTAAAATATTTACTGCCTGACCCTTTACAGAACAAGTTTTCCAACCCCTGATAACCATTAAACTGGGTGAAAAGCCAGATCATGATGAATTCAGGGTTAACTTGCAAAGGAAGGCAGTACAAGCAATTATATGACTATATAGGGAGAGCTTTGGCAATGATTAAATGGTAAGTAGATTGGATGGGAGCTTTTGGAAAAAATGTGGTAACATGGAGCATTTTTTTCACATAGGAAATATTTGGTAGCATGTGGAAAAGTTTCAGTTGAATGGGAGCTAGTGAAGCTATGAAGGAGGAGCAGTGGTGGAATAGGGTTTGGAGAACACAGACAAGAAGGGGAAGATTTAGTATTGGAAAGGAGGTGAAGACTTTTTTTCTTTTGAATTTATTCATTTATTTCTTCCATGAATGAGAGAGATGGAGATAAAAAGTCAGCACCCCAACAGGGTCTCCGTGCAGTGATACATTCCCAACCCCTGCCAGCCCTGGATCATGGGCATGCACATGCATATGCATGGCATACTCACAGAGGTCTGGATGTAAAACTGGAACATTCTCTTGTGGTCGGCCTCCCAGAACATCCCGTTTTACCAGTATGCCATCTGGCCCCACCAAAGACTTTTTTTGAAACACTGAGCAGGAACTGAAAACAGGGAGTGGGGATGAGGAATGGTGGCACGGTGGTACAATGCACCTCTGAGTGACCCACATGAAGGTTCCAGTTCGCATCTGGAGACCTCCCTGAGTTCACTGGACGTGTGGGTGGGTGCCCAGGAGCCAGAGTTGGCAGAAACTGAGGGTGGATTGTGGTGTCAGGAACTTATGGGGGGGTGGTGGTGGTGGTGGTGTCTGTCTGTCTTGCTCATTGAAGAAATAAGTAAAAACTTAAAAGAGAGAATGGATATTAGAAATACAGGGCTGTTTGGAAGTAGCAGCAAAGACGGCAACATGAATTTTCATGAGATGGCTATAATCTCATTTAAGTAGGTAGGGATGAACACAAGAAAGGAAGTGTCTTTTCACTACTCAAAATATTACAGTAATTACATTGACACCCCCCCCCCAATTATGTTTAAGGTCATGGAAAAAGTATACTTGTAAGAAAGAATAATTAGAGAATTTTGGATAGTTATAAAGTATTTTTTCTTTAAGGCCTAACAAGTTAAAATTAGAAAACATGAGTAGGCTTTACATTTTTGATGGTATCAAGTTATAAATTACTAAACTCTATTTTCCAATGAAATTCTTAAAATAACTTTAATCGATATGTAATAACTACTCAAAGGGTTCAGTCTGATCAGTTCTGACATATGTATACTCCTGTGAAGCCATCATCAGAATCAAGATAGTGCAGGCCCCTTTTGTAATTTCTCCCTTCTGCCTCCACTTCTTGTCCCTAACACTCCCCACCCTGTTCTGTTGTGGTGTGTGTTCATTTTCATACTGCTCAAAATACTTTCTAATTTATTTTTTTCTTCTTTGACCCATGGGTTCTTTAGAAGTGTATTACTTAGTTTCCAAGTATTTTGAGATTACTCAGAAATATTGTTATTTATTTCTAATTTATTTCCATTGTAGTCAACAGAATATACTTTACCTGACTTTTTATCCCTTTAAATTCATTGAGACTTGTTTCATGAACTGTAGTTTTATGTATCCTGGTAACAGTGTATATTTGCAAAGAACATGTGTTTTGCCATTCTTGGGTAGAGTGTTCCACAAATGTCTGTTTTGCCAAGGTGGCTGATCGCATTGTTCAGATCTTTCCAGTCCTTACTTATTTTCCACTTACATGTTCTGTCAGATATTAAGAGATGGTTATTGCAGTTTCTGGCTGTAGCTGTTAATTCGACTCTTTCTTCTTGCTTTTCTGTTGATTTTGCTTTGTGCATTTTGAAGCTCTGTTTGTTAGGTACATAAATGTATAGAGTTGTTATGCCTTCTTGATGAATTGGCTTCTTTATAATTGAAAAATAGCCTGGTAATATCCTTTGCTCAGAAATCTTATTTTGTGGGACCAGCAGTTAGCATAATGGCTATGTTGCTGGAATCCCACGTAGTCAACCAACCAAGGTTTGAGGCCTGGACCTGGTGACTTAAACTCACATCCGGCGCTTGTGTGTGCATCCCCAAGGTCCCAAGAGGAGAATGGAGGAGAAGGGATTGCGGCGTGATCATCCTCCCTGGGGGGGAGGGGGGTGATTTCTTGCTTTCTGTCTCTCTTTCTGGCGAGCACATGCACCCTATAGCAAAAATCTCTTCAGAAAAGAAATCTTATTTTGTGTGGTATTAACAGTAGACTGGGCAGTTGTAGAGCTCACCACGGTTTGTTTCTTGACTGTCAAATATTGCTGTTCTTTGTGGCCTGGCAGTCGGTCTTGAAAACATCACTTCTTGTATTTTGTATGGATTTCTTTTAGTTACTTCAGACAGAAGTGTAACCTGTTTCTCCATCTTGACCAAAGCTGGAGTCTAAAGTATTTTTTAAATTTACAGTGGTGCTTAAGTTTTTCTCTTTGTATCAGAGATATTTCAGAAGAAGTTGAAATGTTTGGATCTTAGTCCCTTCCCAATCCGCAAAGGTTTTTCATACATGTAAAATTTTGGTTGTTAACTTCATGAGGTTTATAGGCTTGAGATTTAACTCATCTCTACCTGGGAGGTCTTACTTACCAATCCTAGTACACATTAGGTGGAGCTTCACCTGGTGGAGCTTTTGAAAAAATATCCATGTCTCCTACAAACCTCTGAGAACTGAATTTCTGATGGTGGGGCCCAAACCGAAGTTTTTAAAACACTCCAGGCAAATTGTAGTGTGCAGCCAAGATTAAAAACCACCCTGTGGGCTCCACAAGTAGCATGGTTGTTGAGGTTCTGGATTCCCACATGGCCAACTACAGGTAGAATCCTAGACCCGGTAGCTTGCTCTCAACATCTCTCTCTCTGGTCAAAATAGAAGAAGAATAATGATAATAAATAAAAAATTAAATGATAACTGAAAAACCCTTCTGTTTTAAAGTAAAGAGGTGGCTTCCTTTTTACTTGGTTTCTCTATAAAATGGCAAGAATATTAGAGAGAGTGGGATTCAGGGAACCAGTTAACCCAGCCTAAGTAGTATGGGTTACTTTAAAAAAATTACTAATTCTACCTTCAGACTTAGTCTTGGTAAAATTGTGTTTGGGCTTTTAACAACAATATATATAGGAGGGACCAGCAGTTGGCATAATGGCTATGTTGCTGGACTCCATGTAGTCTACCGTGGTTTGAGTCCTGGACCTGGTGGCTTAAACTCATGCTGGGCACATGTACATGTGTGTCCAAGATGCCGAGAGGAGAATGGAGGAGAAGGGATTGCGGCGTGGCCATCCCCCCTGAGGGTCGATTCTCGCTTTGTGTCTCTCTGTCTTTCTCTGTCTTTCTGGTGAGTGCATACCCTATAGCAAAAACCTCTCAAAAAAAAAAAAATAGAATATATAGGAAAAATTAAAATAAGAAACCTTTTTCAGTTATGTTTCACAGTTTGCAGAATGGTAGAATATCCCTTTTATAAGTAAAAGGCAGCTATATATCAGTTAACATGGGCCTCAGTGCCCAAGAGCTTGTTACCAGAAATAAGGCTATAAATAAATAGAAATGTAAATTTTCTAAAACATTGAGATTTTTTAATGTGATATGCTTTCTTACAGGTTTTATGCTATATCAAATGTACATATGACTTCAGGTTTTAGTAATTCATAATACAAAATGTACTTCATATTAGCTTTAGCGGGCCACAGTTTATTTAGCTGTTTTTAGCAAGGCCAGAAAGCAGCAAGTAGGAGAAACAGCACAGAACACATTTAATAAGAGAGGTCTAAAAAAACAGAGAGGTCTGGTGTAACATGAACTCTGTGACTCTAAAACCAATTGATTTCACATTGAGTCACTTTTTAGATGTGTCAGATTATGCATTGCATGGAGTAGTCAGTTTGGAATGTTGGCTACTTTTGTGCAAGATGATTCTTTCGTATGACTTCCTTAATGAAGAACTTGACCGGCATATGCATTGTGTATTACGCTTTTTAGTTTCTGAATCTTCTAATACTTTTTTTTTTGGAGAGGTTTTTGCTATAGGGTGCTATAGGGCGCGTGCGCTCGCCAGACAGACAGAGAGAGACATAGAGACAGAAAGCGAGAAATCACCCCCCAGGGGGGATGGTCATGCCGCAATCCCTTCTCCTCCATTCTCCTCTCGGGATCTTGGGCACGCACGCACACGCGCCTGACGTGAGTTTTAAGCCACCGGGTCCAGGACGCGAACCGCGGTCGACTACGTGGGAGTCCAGCGACATAGCCATTACGCTAACTGCTGGTTCCCATACTTTTTAAGTAATGGTAAATTTTTTAAAGAATTAAATGATTTGGTATAAATCTAGTTTCAAATATTTTCTCCTTCACTTACTATAACCAACCTTTCCCAATAGCTGTGAACTTCACAGAAGTTAATGAAGAAAACAAAAACGATATCTTCCAAGAAGTTTTTTCTTCCATTGAAACTTTGGCATTTACCTTTGGCAATATGTGAGTAGAAAACTGTCATTAAAAGTAATTGGGCCTAGGTGTCTTAGTGAGAGTATGTTGCACGGTCCAGTAAGATACATGGAGAATAAAGTATTAATCAGTATAAAATATTGTCACAACCTTGGCAAAGCTTGGTTCTGTTACTGTATTACTACGTATGAAGATGTCTTTATAGCTATTTTGAAATACCATTCATTTACAAGTGAATGGTTTATATGAATAGATTCCCAGGATTTTATTTCTAAGTTTCTTCAAAAAAGTTATTTTAGATCACATGTAGGATGTAAAATCTGTGATAAAGAAGTGGAATAACTTGTCTTTTTATTTCTTTTTCTTTTTCTTAAATGCCCTGGATAGCCTTACAAATTTCCTTATGGGAGATGTAGGCAATGATTCATTATTGCGACTGCCTGTTTCTCGGGAAAGTAAGGTAGGCCAAGTTCATGTGAAAGGAAAGCCTTTCATATTTTTAACGTAATATTTCAACTCTTTACTAACTTAATCATGGCATTACTCTTTGATAGCTTTTAAGTTTAGAAATTACTATAGTATAGCAAGGAAAAGAAAATTAAATAGGACAGTTTCTGGTCAGTTCCTGGCAAGTCATTTATTTATACTTTTTAAGTGGGACTGTATGTTAGAAGAACCTATCTGACCATCTTGTAGCGTCTAATGTAATGTAGCCAATGTCATGTGGTCTAAAATTTTCGTAAGTAATTTTTACCATTTTTCCTCCTGACATTGCCATAGATCTTACACTAGTATAAACTTAGAAGATAATGCCAGATGTAAAAAGGAAAGGGTGTTCATCTTCTCACACATCCCACAGTTTGTTTGTTACCGTGAAACACCAGCCTATACGTCTTAAGTCTCCTTCCGAGAATTCTTATATCACAGGAATGGGGTTCTGATTTCCAAGCAGAAGAAACTTTGCTATGGAATAATAGAACATGAGGAATCTGGAAAATACTGTTTTAAGGATTTATAGTAGTAGTAATATTTTTAGTTGACTGAGTTTTTTTTTTCCTCACTAAAAGCAAGATACTTAAGCAGACTGTATCAGGGATAAAGTTGATCACTTCTTGTTAGGGCAGACCAAATCCAAAAGGAAAAGAAACATTGAAACGTGACAGGTACTTCCATTATACCAAAATACTGTAAAAACTTTAGGTCTTTCTTAGAAATGACACAAAATATGAATGACTACTTAAGGCATTTTTGTTACTAATACTGACTACTACAGTATTACAGAAAATAATTGTATTTCTGAAGACATCCATTGATGAGTAAGGGAGAACAAGGAAGAATTTTAAAGATAGTTAAATACTGTGCTATTACTTATGATTCTTCTTTAATTTTACTATTTTAAACTGTTGCTACTACTTCAGAAGATAATAAAACATTCTATCTGTGTGGCAGGTCTCTGAGAAATTTAAATTTTGCATGCAAGTCTTATTTCCTGTTTTTATGCCTCTGTTGTACACAAATACAGTAATTCTTTTTCGAGCGGGGTGGGGAGGGGGGCTTGCTATAGGGTGCATGCATTCGCCAGAAAGAGAGAGAGAGAGACAGAGGGACAGAAAGTGAGGGAAATAACCCTCCCAGAGGGGATGGCCACACCACAATCCTTTATCCTCCATTCTCCTCTCAGGACCTTGGGCACGCACACACACACATGTGCCCAGTGTGAGTTTAAGCCACCAGGTCCAGGTCTCAAACTGCGGTTGACTACATGGGAGTCCAGTATGTCTATGCCATAGTTGGCATAGCCATTATGCCAACTGCTAGTCCCAAATATAGTAATTCTTAATAGGAAAAGAATTTCTTTTTTCTTTCACACCTCTGTTACTTTTTTTGGGGGGGGGGCGGAATGGAGTTGTCAGTTTCCCTTGAAGATTGGAATAAAAAAGCCTGTGATGATGATAATGCTAACAAAATCACTTTGCTCGATGAAAAGTTTTGAAAGATGCCCTTTAAAAGTAATAGCTGTACTTTGTTTAATAGTGTTTGCTATATACCAGACACTATGATGCCTATATGATCTTAAACCTTAAAACAGCATTATGAAAGGAATGTTGTTATTCCATTTTTACAGAAGGACAAAATAAAGTTATGTGGACTTGAATATGAAGTCTGATGTTATACAGCTGATAATTGAGCTGGACTTCATACCCAGAGCTCTTTGTTTAAGTTTTGGGCTATAGTGTGTGTGTGTTAGCCAGAGAGACAGACAAAGTAAAAAATCATCCCCCAGGGCGACTGGCCATAATATTCTCTTTTCAGATTTTGGGCCTCACACATGTGTGTCTGGCATGTTTTTCAAGCTATCGGTCAGGTTCTGAACTTGAATCCTACAGCTGTCCATGTAGAACCCAGCTGCCTTAACTAGCTCTCTTTCCTTTCCTTTTTTTTTTTTTTTTTGTATAGGGCACATGTGCTTGCTGGAGAGAGAGAGAAAGCAAGAAATCACTCCCTGGGGGGAATGGCCACACTGCAGTCCCTTCTCCACTTTCTTCTCGGGATTTTGGGCACACATGCGCAAGTGCCTGGTGTGAATTTTAAGCCACCAGGTCTGTGACTTGAACTGCGGTCAACTACATGGGAGACCAGCGATGTAACCGTTATGCCATCTGCTGGTCTCCCTCTTATCCTTTTTGTATCCAATCCCTGCATGCCCTGAATTGGTCAACTGAATAGATTGAATTTAAGATTTCATGGTTTTGGTAGATGATGTTTCCCAGAATTGTACCATGGATGTAGCCATTAGCCACATGCAGTTCTTTACATTTAAATTAATTAAAAATTAAGTAAAATTTGATATGTACTTTAAGTCACATTAACCATTTATTAATGTTCGAATAGCTACACTTGGCTAGTAGCCACTGTATTGGATGATATATAAAACATCATCACAGAAAATTCTGCGCAAAGTTGTTTAATAAGATGGCTACAAAAAAGTCTCTGTATCTTTTTTGTTTGTTTGTTTTAGGTTTTTTGCCATAGGATGTGCGTACTCTGGAGAGAGACAGTGAGAGGAAAAATGAAAAATCACCGCCCCGGAGAGATGGCCACACAGCAATCCATTCTCCTCTCAAGACTTTTGCATATATGTACACGTGCCCAGCGTGATTTTCAAGCCACCAGTCTGAGACTCAAACCACCTTCGCCATATGGGGATCCAGGGCCTTAACCACGATGCCATCTGCTGACTCTTGTTGTCTTCTGTTTAAACAGCAATGCGTTTAGATTGTTTCTCTAGCTTCCTGGCTAGTGTTTTGGGGATTTACAAACATTATTTAACGTATTGAGTGGGTTCATTAATGTTAACTAATGCTGTTAGTAAATGATGAGGTTGTTCATTCTTGAATCTAGAGAATACCTGTTGTAAAAAGCTGTATCATTCAGTACTGGGAGATGGCATAATGGTTGCATCTTTAGACTCCCATGTAGTCGACCACGGTTTGAGTCCTGGACCCGGCAGCTTAAAACTCATGCTGGGTGTGTGTGCGTGCATGCCCAAAATCCCAAGAGGAGAAGGGATTGTGGTATGGCCATCCCCCCAGGGGGTGATTTCTTGCTTTCTGTCTCTGTCTCTCTGGTGAGTGCACATGCCTATAGCAAAAATCTCTCTCTCAAAAAAAAAAAAATCTATGTAATTCTTACAGAGTGTTCTGGCATTTAAACAGGCTTTTCAGGCCCTTTGAGTTTTAAATGCTTGAAATTCTTTAGCAGAAATTATGTCAGAGTAACAAATTGGGGTGAAAATTATCTGAAGCAAGGATTCTGTTCTAATCTTAAATTTGTTTTCTTCCATGTCATAAGTCTTTTGAAAACATTTCTGTGGAATCAGTGGACTCACCCAATGAAAAAGGTAATACTTGGGCACTTATAACTTTTGTCAGACATTTCACAGTTACTTTCAATAAATGTTTCGGATTGCTTGATCTCTTCTTCCTTAGTACCCTATTAGATATATTTCTAACCCACAACTATATATAAAGTTTTAGATATAAAACTTAAGGGGAAAATTCTGCTAGAGTAGACAGATAATGTGATACTATAGACTGATCAAGAATTGTAAAGGTTTGTAATTGGTAAATAATAGAAATACATATTAAGATCAAAAAATCATTAGAGTTTAAAACATTTTAAGTTTCAACTGTGACCCTTTAGTTTAAAAATTTGTAAATTGTATATTTTTAAAACAGTTTTTATTGAAGAACACGTTAGGATCTAGTGCTTTATTGTTTAGATTTATTATGTGATCATATTTAACATGTACTTACCTTGACCTTTTTCTTTGCAGGAAATTTTTCTCCTATAGAACTAGACAGTGTGCTGTTAAAGAATACTGACTCTATAGAATTGGCTTTGTCATATGCTAAAACATGGTCAAAATATACCAAGAACATAGTTTCGTGGGTTGAAAAAAAGCTTAATTTAGGTGAGTTGCCTTTTGTAGCATCTGATGAACTTTGGAGTTTTAAGAGTTAAGTTTTTGGACCAGCAGGTGGCATTAAGGCAGCTAGATCCCACATGGCCAACTTTGTAATTCAAATCTTGGACCTAGGCCTTTGTTCACCCATCCCCAAAATCACCAGAGGAGAGTAGAGAAGGGATTGCAGTGTGGCCATAACTGCAGGGGATGATTTCTCAGGAATGATTTCTCACTTTCCCTCCTTCTCTGTCTCTCCCCTGTGAGCACATGTGCCTTATAGCAAACCTTTAAAAAAATAAATAAATAATTACTTTTGATTATTTTCTGTAGACTATGAGTTATATTCTGAACTAGTAGATGTTTCATTGTAATAAATAAAATTAGTGCCCCCTGAACTAGTAGATGTTTTGCAGTAATGAATAAAATTAGTGCCCACTTTCTCTTGATATAAGACAGACTTTTCTCACACTAGCTGTTCTTATCAGACACTTATTTTGGGTTCATCACTAGCTCTAGGGACACAGACAGAATTACTATCTCTGCCTTTAAAGAAGTTACTCTAATGAGTAAAAAGAAAAACAATCATGGGACCAGCTGATGGCATGGAGGTTAAGGCGACTGGATCCCATATGACCAACTGCTTGGTTCGAATCCCAGGCATAGCAGCTTGAAAAACATGGTGGATATGTGTGTGTGCCCAGAATCCTGAGAGGAGAATGAAGGAGAAGGGATTGTGAGAAGTGCTTCCTCACTTTCCCTCCCTCTCTTTCTCTGTCTCTCTCTGGCAAGTGTACCCTATAGCAAATGAAAATAAAAACTGGACAGCGCTTTAAAGGAATAATACACAGGCCTATCCCTCAAAGAGGTGCTGTTTAGGCAAGTGTATTTTCGAATAGTTTCCAGTAGATTCTGATAAGCATTTAAAATTAAGAATAACTTCATTATCTCATGATATGTACTAGTATTTATGGACACTTTCTATTTAAGGAATTGTAAATAATTTAAGGGTATGAGGAGAAAAATTAATTTTACCTTCTGATAACTTCTTCAACTTTTACAGAATTGGAGTCCACCAGAAACGTTATAAAGTTAGCAGAGGCAACTAGAACTAATATCGGCCTACAGGTAAGTGTTCTATGAACTTTAAGGGCTCTATAATGAGAGATGGATCAAACAAGCTCTTGATAGTGCCTTGCAAAATCAGAAAATTTCAACTTATATTGGAAATAAGTGCTAATCTTTTTATTGATAAAATAAAATCTCCTTATATTTAGATGGCTGTTTATTATGAAGAACTAGGAAATTCACAATTTTATGAGTACTGATTATCTTGATAGCTACTACTTTTTCTTTTTTTTGAGAGGTTTTTACTATAGGGCGCGTGTGCGCACAGAGAGACAGAAAGTGAGAAATCACCCCTCAGGGGGGATGGCCACACCGCAATCCCTTTTCCATTCTCCTCTCGGGATCTTGGGCAGGCACACACATGCGCCCGGCGTGAGTTTAAGCCACCAGGTCCGGGACTCGAACCGTAGTCGACTACGTGGGAGTCCAGTGACATAGCCATTACGCTAACTGCTGGTCCCGATAGCTACTACTTTTTCTAACTAGTTGTATAATTTTTTTTTCTTTCAACCGAAGCTATTTAGTTCATTCTGAAAGCATTGAAAAGATAAATTTCAAAGAGTAGGTGTACAATTAATTGTGATTAATTTTCTTTGATATGTTCCTTATGTAGTCATGTTTTAGTCATTTTGAGGGGAGGAGAAGTCTAAACCTGAAGTTTCTCTCTTTAAAGAATAGTGGTGGGTCAAGAACTCTAGTGCAGTTCTCTAAAATTTGTCAGGCCTTATTACAGTGGCACAAGCAGTAGGCACCATTGTGTGGTACATGGGAGGCCTGGGTTCAGATCCCAGGTCTACCTGAGCATGCCAGGCACACCTGCACCTGTTGTAATTCTGCCTTTCTGGGAAGCTATGAGGAGGACTGCTATGTGGTGAGATGTCAGGTTCCTCTCTCACACACTCACTAAATGAATGAATGAGTGAGTGAATGACTGCGTGTTTTAAAAAACTGACTTTTCCATTTTGAATTCTAGGAGTTTATGCCACTGCAGTCTCTATTTACCAATGCTCTTCTTAATGATATAGAGAGCAGTCACCTGTTACAGCAAACAATTGCAGCTCTCCAAGCCAACAAATTTGTGCAGGTAAAAATTAATCTATAAGTAAAATACACAGTTTTTTAATAACTGCATACCTTTAGAAAATAGCTTTTTTTCCTTTTTTCTTTTCCCTCTCTTTTTTTTTTTAATGCCATTCACAGCCTCTACTTGGGAGGAAGAATGAAATGGAAAAACAAAGGAAAGAAATAAAAGAACTTTGGAAACAAGAACAAAATAAAATGGTTAGTGTTACAATGGAGTTTCATACAGAGTTGTGAATATCCAAAGGCAGGCCTAGCCACCTGGGTGTGGGCAGAGGGGAGTTGCTGCATAACACTGGAGCCTTGTGGGAGGGCAGGGGCTCAGACTACCTGGGTATTCCAGGAAT